GTTCAACAAGCAATCAAATTGAGGTCACCATAACATAAACAAACAAAATATGAAAGAGAAGGGTATATCAGAAACACTTTATATTTAAATACACATCAATGATAAGTATAATGTTTCTTGATTAACGCAGCACAAAAGTCCGTTATTAAAATGTTCATTCAAAGAAAAGAAATCAGATTATGAAAGGAATTAAAGTGTCATTTTGTGAATACTTAAGTTTAGGCGTGCGGGTCCCAGGAGATGAAAGGTGAGGTCAATGGGTTGGTAGGTGTCATTTGATATCTCCGTTGGTGAAGGAAAACTGGAGACGTCGGGTTGATGGGTGAGAAAAGCGTGGCGACATTCTATGACGGTAACTTCAAGGCTTTCTGACCAGAAGTGAATTCATCGTTCTATTTATGTGTGTCCATCGGATCTGAGTCAGTATGCTGAAACAAACTGTTGGATATGGCGCGGGGCCGTTTAATTGGTGGAAATTGCTTATTATATTCTTTTATTTCTTTTGATTTTCCACCGGAACTTATGCGTCGAGCCTGGTGCGCAAAGACCAGTATTGGTCATTTGCTATCTAGACCTCTGAGGGTTAACATCCGGTCCTTCGCTTGCTCAGTACCACCACAGGTACCTGTATGTAAATAAAAACAAATGATTATTGAAAAAAATGAATTTGTGATATAAATCACTTTAATATTTTTCTTTTAAATTCACAAACTTCAACAGATAACATGTAGTGAAAGAAAAATCTGAATTAACTCTCTACTGAATGAGTCTTGGAAATAAAACTCCTCAAAACACTCTTTTTTTTCTTATTAAAGGAATTGTATATATAATTCTTGTAGAAGTATACTTAGAAGAAAGCACCTGAATTAATTTTTAGATGATGACCTGACTAATTTGAAAGTATTTTAACAAGAGGAGTTCCTTTTGTTATAAGAATAAAACTGTTTTTCATTTTCTCTTAAACTGTTCTGTTGATTTGATCAAAATTGCAAACAGAGAATCCAGTCCTTTTCTTCTTGCCTGTCAAAACCTGTTCAGTTTGAAAATTATCCTGTATCAATCAATTACTTTATAACAGATATATTATTTTTGTATTATGGATTTTAATTAGTATCTATTTAATTCCATTTAATTCTTTTTGATAAATGGCAAATATTCTTGAACAAAAGTATTTATTCATAAAATCCTTAAGTACACTTTTGAGAAAAATTGATTGAAATCCGATTTGCTCTTCTATTATCATTTGATTGTAGAAATTTTTGTTTTCTGCAACTGATAAAGCCCTGAATGTTGTGAGTTTACTGCTATACATACACACTTTTGTATATAAGTATCGGCATAACAATCTTCCTTCTGCAAGGAAAGAATATTAAACATTTTTTGTTCCTTTGGCATGCATGTATTTATTCTTTTCAAAGAAGTTTCAGAATGAAATAACAATAAAATTAAATGACTTGCTGTTTTAGCTGTCATATTGTTCTTTTAAGAAAACTTTTTATCAGTTTATATCTGTCTATATTTCTGAGATGAGGTATTATGTACACTATTTACACTATGAGGACAATAGTCCAAATAATGTAAATAGTGTACAGTTTATATATATTTTACTTTTGAGTAGTCTCCTGTCTTGTCTGTCCATAAAGCAGCATAAAAATATTTTTTTTTAGTTACAGATATTCTTTGCTAACTTTATTTTATCTATATAAAACAAATACTTGCTTTAGAACAGTGATTCTCAATCTGACCAATATTGTCTCCTTGGAAACACTATGAAGTCTCAAGGGAGCTGTAAGCATTTGGGAGAGTTTAACAATAGCTACTATTTTAACAGGACATTAACTTGATTTAACCCTTTGATTGGGACAAGTTACAATATTTTAGACACGCATTTGTATAGCGTTTTGCCAATATGTATTTACCTAAAACTGCAATATGTATACAGATCAAAAACCTGCATGTTAAAGCCCAGCTTCTATAATCTGACATTGTGACTGCCACTTGGCTTTTTATACCAAAGCTTATTTTTGGTAATTGGTGCTGCAATAATGCAATAAAATGTAAGCACATTAAATTAACTCTGTTTTATTTACCAGTGCAATTTTAACATGGAAGATGGACATCCCACAACTGAATAGGGTCACTGGAGAAGAAAAGGTTAAGGACTAAATATCAATATATCCAAAAGCCAGATTTGATTTTTATACAAAGTGTCACTGATTCTCTGTATCTTCAAAGAGTTATTGACTAAAACTTTTTTTACTTTTCCAATTTCTGTGATAATACACTTTTAAATTTTTGTGTATGTCTGGAATAAAATTTAAATTTTAAAACTTTAATATTGATTTAAAATTATATATGATTAGATAAACTTGGGTATTACTCAGGAGGTAACATGAAATTATATATCTCTTAACAGTAAGAGAATTTTGTATTTTACTTTGAACTATGTTTTAGTATTTTTCTATCTCTGTAAAAGAAAAATATTAAACGCTTTAATTTTGTCAAATCCATTTCAGATCCATCAAAACTAGTTATTTCTTAATTGCTTCTTAAGTATCAATGATTAATTTCTATACAGACATGAAGAAATTATTCTATTACATGAAATAAATTTCATAATTTATTTTAGAACAAATTTAAATAATAAGCTTGAATCTTAACATGAGATATGCAGATGACAGTGTTGATAGCAGACACAGAAAGAAAACTACTGGAACTCCAACAGAAGGTAGTTAAGGAGAGCAAGAAGAAAGGATTAAATATCAATTGTAAGAAGACAAAATTTATGGTTGTCAACAAAAGGAACAGCCCAACATGCAAATTACAAATTAGAGATGCCAAAATAAAGTAGGTACAAAGATTTCAATATCTAGAAAGTGTTTTAACAGTGGATGGAAAATGTGACACCAAAATCCAAAGGTGTATTGGGATAGCAAAAAATGCCTTCCAAAAACTAAGCAAAGTATTAACAGGAAAATCTCATTAGAAACAAAGAAGGATATTTAACTGTTATATAATATCAATTCTCCTATATTGTAATCTCCTCACAGATGAAATAACTTGATGCAACAGAAATGTGGTCCTCCAGATGGATGCTAAGAACATTATGAACTGAACATGATCAACAATGAAGTTTTAGAGAAAAACAGAAAAAAAAAAAGAATATATTTAGCATTAGAGAGTTGAAATTTTTAGAGCATGAAAATGAGGAAAGTGAGCTTAGAAATACAAAGTCAACTCACAGGACATATTGAAAGCAATAGGAGTAGAAGAAAACAGAACATAACCCACCTAATGATCTTGTGTAAAGGTTGACAGAACAGGGATTAGGAGAGAGAGCAAAAAGACAAACTTTACTAAGAGCTACAAAGGATAGGAAATTGCCAAGAGCCATGATTACCCACATCCTGAAGAGACATGGTACATAGAACAGAGAAAAAAAAAATGAATATAAAAATTTAAATATTTAGAAATTTTAGAATAAATTAAATTTCTTCTTGTATAATAAAACTTCAATCTACCTAAAAACAACTTTCAATTGCAGTAAGAAATTGTACTCGGTTCTCTGGGAGCGTTCCATGCTTTCTTGACTTAATGTATAACTATTATAAAGCAATATTTCCGTCTCCATTTTTATCACTAGTAAAATCTGATTAAAAAATACTTTATAAAAACAGACACCAATTTTGATCTCAAAGAATGTAATTGGGGGTGGGCATTGTCTGCGTGTTATCTGCTGGACTTTTACTAACATTTGTTATTAGCCTAAAACATTGCACTTTTATATTAACGCTTTGCCTCCTGCTGCTGCTGTTAATTGCTCTGCAATGATCTTTCATGAGCCTATTCACCTACTTATATTTGTTTTCACAGCCACTCACATCTTAAGTAAATTGTAAACTGTTAGAATATTTTTCTTTTTTTATATGCAAAAAACTTTTTGTTGATGCATTAATGAAATTTTTTTGATGGTATATTAGACGCACTTCTACTTCAGCAGGGAATATTTAAGAAAAAAATTGTTTTTCTTCCTAATCATCTGGCATTTTCTGTGCAATGTATGTTTTTGTAGACATTGATAATTCCCACCATTTCATAAACCATCTTTCTGACCATGAAAAGCTTTCGTTCTTCTGCTAATCTCCTGGCCTCATTAATTATCATTTTTGCTAGAAACACTTTTGCCTGACTGCCTCTGATCTACCACCTGCTATTTTTTTTTTTTTTTTGTTATCCTCAAATACAAACCAATGTGGGATTGGGCAACAAAGATCATGTTCATCTATCTTTATCTTTAGTTGGTCTTTCTCTTGTTTTTTTGTTTTTGTTTTTTTTTGTCACCAGATATATTTCTTCAGTAAGTGGTGAGCCAAAACTCCTTGCTGCTTGTCTATTCCCATAATCTTTAAGTGGCGTCTATCACTTGTAGTTTGTAGCAGAACATATTATAGGCAGCTCTGCATAAAAATGAGTCTTTGTGAGTGCACTCTTCAATATTATTCACATTTCTGATATCGCCTTGTTCATAGTAGCATATCTAAATCATCTATAGACAAAAAGAAGTTTGTTTATGCACTTTTGATATAATTTAGTTCTACTATAACATTTTTATTATCATTTTAATGTTAGGTATATCTCAATACCAAATTAAAAATTCCTTTAGTTGATAAATTTCACCTGTTGTACAATTTCAGTTTCTGTGCACTACTAACACAAGATACATGCTAAATATTTTATGTTACAAAGGCTGCCTATTCAACAAATATTTCATTGTTCTCTGAATTTGAACTAATATCCTCATTTTTATTACATTTCAGCTGATACATTTGCGATATGCTGGATTAGGTACTATTAAAACAGAATCTGCCTTGTTTAATCAGAATCATTCACAGATTGGAAGAACAGATATTTTTTTTTTTTTTTTTTTTTTTTTTAAATCGGAAATATTATTTTAATCTATTTGAAATTTGCTCTGATAACTTTTTCTTTTCTTCCATCAGATACTCAGAAGCAGTAAACATTTTCTGCCTCATGTTGCTCGGTTCTGTTTAATTGGCACCTTTTTGGAGGATGGCATCAGAATGTGGAATCAATGGAGTGAGCAACGTGATTATATGAATGCCACTTGGAATTGCGGAGTATTCCTGGCATCGATGTTTGTGCTTTTCAACCTAATTGGACAATTGGGGGGCTGTGTAATGGTTCTCAGTCGACAAAGAGTACCCACAGCTTGTGGCATTTTGTTTGGAATTATTTTCATTCAGGTATGCATTTTTCCAGTGACTTGAAAATTAACTTTTTTTTCTTTTTTTTTTTTTTTCCTGATTTGTTTTATGATTAAAAGTGTGTGTGTGTGTGTGTGTGTGTATATATATATATATATATATATATATATATATATATATAACAAAATTGTATATGCTTGTTAAAAATAAAAGCAAGAATTCTTGTTTAATTTTTTTCATAATACATCTTTCATCCTAATTTTAGTTGCTTATCATTTCTACTACTTAGACCACTTTTCTATGATCATTTGTAATAAGTTCAGATTGAGTTTGCTCTTGATGCAACAAACTTGCACCCCTTACATCTTGAAAAGTCTGTTTTTCCTTTAGCTGCCCTTCCACTTGAGCTATAAGGGAAATCTAACTATATAATTTCACTCTTCACTTGACAATGTTTCATTTAATAATTCAATATATTACAAGTAATAATAATACTACTAGTAGTATATGTAGAAATAATATCGAATATCTGGCAGTGAGTGATAAGAGGATGAAATGGAGAGTAAGTTTATATGGTTAGATTTGATCTTTTGCTTATCATAAATTTCAGTTAAGAACATAACAAAGATAAAACAAATTTTCCAAGGAACGAAATATTAGTCTTGCAGAGAACTTATTCTTTATTTCTGATAGCTATAAAATGTTGGTTTGAGTTTTTGTGATGAAAAACTAAAAGCAGTATTAAACAAAAATAAATTCTCTAATCTCTTGTCAATTAGAAAGAAATGCTTCACATTTTATTTATCCAGATGCTATATTCTATATTTATATTTGACTTTAATATATATTTTTTTCTTTTCATTCATGAATAATTTTTTTTTTACTTATGCCTTACAAAATTTTGAAGTGTTTTTCTTTCCTTTTTGACATTCAATAAGTAAGAAATACTTCAAAATTTTGCCTTATCAAATATTATCACAATTCTCAACATGAAAGTCATTTTATTGAAAGGGTAATTTGAATGAAGTGAACCAAATTAAGCATTTGATCATGAGCAAACATTTTGGAATTCATTGTTTCTATTAAAATATAATTTTTGTAAATGAGTATTATTAATAATTATAAAATCAGTTATTACTTCTGTATATCACAAGTGAATGGAAATGTTTTCACCTATATTCCTATCATGCATGCTTGCTGATCTTTTTGATTATTCTTTGAGAGCTCTTGATATTTAGTGTTGATAATGACCATTTGAATTTCAACCTCAAAAATCACCCCCCAAAATGATTCTGCTTTTTTATTACTAGATTTCAATGATTTTCAGTCATAATATTTAAAAACTAATTTTTATTGTATCAAACTGTAAGAACAAATTGTCATGTGACTTAATAAGCAAAGAACATTTTGCAATTTCTCATATGATCTTTGAAGTATTGAATATGGCATGAGTTTTTCTTTCCTACAGTTTTAGTACTATGAAAAAAAAAATGTACATATTTGCTATTTTCTATATCATAATGAATCTGCATCTACAATTTTGATATTCTTTTGATTATCAACAATAAAACATTTTTGTTGCAAACTTATAAACTTCATAACTGATATCATTGATGTTTATAATCTTTTGTTCAAAGTTCAAATACTTTCTATCTGATAGTTTTTAGACTAATCTGGTTTCCACTACTAAATGTTAAAACCATTAAAATTGTTCTGTGCTTCTCTAGTTGAGAACTTTATTCTTTAAAATTTAAGAAAATGAAACCTTTGACTATAACTGTCCTACTGTTTAACTTGTAAAAAAAACCTTTGCTTTTTCACAAAGTATCAAATGCTTCTTGCCTCTTTATAAAGCTTGTATCAAACTAAAAATCTTTCATATATTTGATTCAATATTTGATCTTTGGATTGAAATTTAAATATTTCAGCTCTTTGCTTATAAATTAATTTTTTTTTTTTTAATTGAAAGAACTTTTGTTTACATTTGTTGAAAGGTGCAGTTATGTAACAAGTATTAAGTGTGTTTGGTGTTTTCCTATTTATACCAAGCTTTTAGAATTGTAAGCTTTTTCATTTATGATTAGTAAATATAGTTTTTACTTAACAATATCACCAAATCACTAAAAATTAATACAGAATTTTAAAAGATTTAAAAACTTTATAAATTATTCTAATTAAAATTTGAAAAAAAAGGGAAACAAATATTGTAAAAATTCATTATTTATTGAAAAAAAAAATCTCTTTAAGACATTAGTGCCCATAATATCTTCATAAAAGCAATAGAAAGCTTTTTAATTAAATAATGTCTTAGTTTTATTACAATTTTTATTTTATTATTCAGAGTAGATTTTTGGTAATTGATCCTGTTTTACAAAAAATAAATTGACTATTTAAATTCCTCATGGTCTTATAACTAATATAAACATTAAGCATTACAAAAATGAATTCCTCAAAATTTCATAAAATCAAATCCATCCACTGATTTAATTTTATGAAATGTTAAAAAAAAAAAAAATAAACATTTTACTAAAAAAAAGGATTAAAAATAATTTGATTCATTTGTGAATAACTCCTGGAAGATTCATTAAAATCTGACAATTATTTGATTTTTACAAGAATTTCCAAATCAATGTGTTTGTGTTTTTTTTTTTTTTTTTTTTTTTTTTTTCCCCCTTTCACCTGGAAAAAAAGGCACACAAAACACTAATTGTAAATGTCTGCTAGCATAAAAAAGATTTTTAACAAAAATTTTGAACGTACAAGGAAGGATTAAAAAATTTAATAAAATAATTAAAAAAAATACTTTAGTCTTTCCTCTTAATAATAACAAAAATTTTGACAATAAAACTTTGTTTTTATTAAGTTCAGGGCCTTTTTTCATCATGCTATACTGTTTTTCAGCGAGCAAGTGGAGGCACCTAATTTTATATTAGTATTCCTTTCCCTCACTTATTACTTTCATATGCTAAATATTTTAACTTTTCAGATCTGTTGTTATTTTATTTTTTTTCACTAAGGTGTATCAGCAGATAATTTTACAATTTGCAAAGATTTATTTCAATTATTTTATTTTCAGACTGTTGCATATAGCATTCTATGGGATTTGAAGTTTTTGCTTAGGTGAGTAGTCAGTATTTTACTAATTTCTGTTAATAGTAATTATAATGGGATTGGTTGTAGGAGAGGTGAAGTAGACTACTGATAAGTGTCGTAGTGCAACACTATACAACAATATGGTGTTACCAATAGGATGTTTAAGCCACTTGGATAAAGCAGAATTTATCGAGACTTAGATCTGGTGTTTTACAGGCCAGGTTAGGGCTAAAAACATTAGACATTAAGGCAAAAGTGGAAGAGAATGAAATGACCAACCTCTTCCTAGCTTCAGCAAGTTGTGAAGCTATAATGAAAATTTCTGTTATTGCACACTCCCAAACAATTGCAGAATTTGGCTTTTATCGAAATTTCAGAAATGATAAAAAAGAAATTTATGACCTAAAAAGAAAGTTGTCATGGCGGAAAGAACCAAATTTATGTCCATCAAACAACAGCTGGAATTGATTAAAAAGTATAATTCTATCAAGAACAATGATGAAACATACAGTATAAAAGGAAAAAGGAACGTGAGAAACTAAATACTGTAAGTATGAGCACAAAATTGACAGAAAAAAGTGCCCCATTTTGGAAAAATTTGCCATAACTACAGGAGAAAAAATGATTTTCAGTCTGTATGCAAAGTTAAAAAGAAAATGATATAAAAAAGAATTGATGACGTCTTTTCAATTAAATGGCACCACTTTTCCAGTGCAAGTGGATATGGGGAGTGAAATCACTATGATCCCAAGAACAAATGGGTAAACTGAAATTGAGGAAAAGTTATGTGAAATTGATGTATTTCAATAGATCTTTTATAAAAACTTTTGGCTACTTCAATGGAAGCTTTGAAACCTGTGACCAATTTAAAATTATTCCAATTACAATAGTGGAATGTAAAAAAATTCATGGACTACTAGCAATAGATATTCTAAAGGTGGATATATTGAAATTAATCAATGCTGTAAAATCAGAAAAAGTAAAAACGGGAGTGGTAAAAGAGCATAAAATCAGCATGTAATTAAATGAAAATAGTATCCCCACTTATTTTGAATCCCGTAAATTACCTATTCACCTTCTACCTTTTAGTGGTTGCCAAGTTAAAGAAAATGGTAGAGGAGGGAATTTTGAAGCATGTTCCTCCACATAACAGTTAATGTGCCTTTCCCATTGTAGTTTTGCAAAAATCATATGGCGACTTATTCTTAAGTACCATTTTCTCACCACTTATTCTTGATTTTAAAATAGGTGTAAATCATAAAATAGACTCGGATTCATTTCCTATTCTCAATATTAAAACTGCTATCCACAAATTATCAGGCATGAAATTTTTGTAAAAAAATTGATTTAAAATCTGCCTATAATCAAATACCAATTGATGATACATTCAAGGAAATTGCCACAATAAAACTATAGGATCATTAAGATGGATGAGAATGCCTTTTGGAATGAAAATGGCAAATGCCATTTTTTTTTTTTTTTTTTTTTTTTTTTCAGAGAGTAATGGAAAATGTTTTAACTGATGAAATTAGTAACATGATTATTTACGTCAATGCTACTACAAAAGACAAATTAAAACAAAAACCAGAACATGTTAAAAAGTGCTGGGATGACAATAAACACTGACAAATGTGAATTTGATTGTGATACACTATCATATTTAAGGTATTGGATTCAAAAGATGGTATTGCATCAGATTCAAAGTTAATTAAGAAAATTTCAAATATCTCTATACCTACTAATAAAAATGAATTGGAATCCTTTTTTAGGATTGGTTAATTTTTATAATAGATACCTACCAAAATACAGCAACTTAGATCTATTTGCTGAACTGCATAAAAAGAATAGTTAAAATAGACTCTCAAAAGCAAAACTTAGTGTTTGAAGATTTAGAAAAGATTCTCACGGAAAAAAATTAAAAGTTTTTTTTTTTTTTTTTTTTGTAAAATCTTTGATCCCAAAATGGAGATTACATTAACTACAGGTGTGAGTGAGCAAGCTATGTCAGCAATTTTATCACAAGAAGGCTATCTAATATTTTATCTTTCAAGAAGATTGACAGCAGCAGAAATAAATTATTCTAATATTGAAAAAAGAAGCATTTGCCATTATATGGAGCACAGACATAGTTTGACAATTTATATTAGGTAAGAAGTTCCTATTAAAGTTGGACCATAATCCTTTAAGTTTATTTGTAACCCTAGAAAGGAGCTACCAAAAGTCACTTCTTCCAGAATTCTGAGATGGTCAATAAAATTAATGGCATATGATTTTGACATTGAGTATGTAAAAGGAATTACAATACATGTTGATGCACTGTGAAGGTTACAATTTAATAAAGATTAAAAAGGAAAAAAAAATGGAAATCCCAGATGAAGAAATATTGCATTGGGTTTGAAACTAACATATTATCTCTACAAAGATTTGCATCAGAAAATACATGATCTGATATTAAGCCACATTGCTGAGAGAATAAGAAACAGGTGGAGTAATTGTTCCAAAGCTGAAAAAAAAACCCTTATAAGAAAGAAATAAGGTATAAATTAATGATGGAAAGTAGCAATATGCAATAGAAATGTGATAGTGCCACCAGAAACAGTAGGAAAAAAAAAAAAAGATATTTTAAAAAGTGTACAGGATGATGTGCATTGTGGGATAATGGCTACACAAGGATTAAAAATTGGAGGCATGGTGATTAGGGTATTATCATGATTTAAAAATTTATGTACAAAATGTGCAAAAATAAAGATTTTTTTCAACAAAGAATACATTTAAGGCCTAAAAAAAATGGAACCCTGGTCTTCTGTTCATATGAACCATGCACACATTAATGGCATGAGACTATTTCTAATTTTAGTAGACTTCTTTTCTGGATGGCCCGATGTCATTAAAGATAGAAAAACAACTATAATAAAGCAAATATTAAGTGTGATATTTTCTAGAAATGGGATCCTTAAAAGATTGGTATCAGACAATGCACCAAAATTTTGAGATGTAAATTTATTATTGGTTGAGGTAGATTGGTTGTCTCTCTTACAAAACATCACTGTATCACCTGCAATCTAATGGGATTTAAGAAAGAATGATGCAGACAGTAAAAATGGGATTGAAGTCATTTTTCTCAAGTAGAGATACTATAAACAGTTACTTACCAAGGTTACTGTTTATTTATAGAACAATTCCATATGTGAACAGATTGCAAAGCCCATCTACATTAATGTGAAGACAAATAAGATCTCCATTAACAATATCTTACTTGACAAATGAGAATAAGTGGCATAAAAGAGAGAAATTAGCAAGTCCTGAGAGATCTAATTTCATCATGCAAAGGAGATATAACACGGCCATTATATCAAAGAAAGGAAAAAGCATAATGGCTTGTTCTGACCAGTTATGACCCAGAATTAAAGAGGAAGATGAGATGGAAGAAGGTCTTTATGAAGAAGAAAGGAGGAGTTCTTCAGATCAGGATAATGTAATAGAAGTCTAGCCTATAGATGACAGTGGGAGTGACTTAAACATGGAAGTAGATGAAATTAAGATCTTCATTAAGAAGAACAGGACATAAACCTTAAGGGTGGCAAGGAGGAAAGAGGTTGGAGAAGAGCTTCAAGAACAATGAAAAGTGTTAAACCTCTTCATTTCAGGGAAGTGTAATGGGATTGGCAAATTAGATTTTACCTATTTGTATTTGTTGGTTAGAGAGGTGAAGTAAATAGTCAAACAGGAATAAGTTGATTACTGATCACATGTTATAGAATATATGAACAGTAATAATTCATTGTAATCATTTAAATTAGTACTGTTTAATAAGTTTCTTTTAAATGGTTTCCTTGAAATAAAATTGTTGGCAAAGTTCTAAATAATACATTTCAAATTTACTGATATGACTAGATTTTCTCTACACTGCACTTGTTTCTGTTGTTTTTTCCTTGTGAAGATACAAGGAAGAATATTTTGTCTATTTATTTAAAAGAAGAGATTTGTTTACATGATCATTTTACTAACATCTTCCCTCACATTATCATTGTCTACAAAAATTGAAAAGTGTGTAGGCAGAAGTACTTAATCAGATTGTTAGATAAATCTTTTGAAGTTTGATATGCTATTGGTCAACTTTAATACATTATTTACCACTCAGGAAAAATTCAGAAGCTATGAAAATAGGTTACAGAACTTACAGAAAAGAATATTATTAACATTTAAACATTTACTTTTTGTTTCAACATAGTAATAAAAAAGGCATTCTTAGACAGAATAGTAGCTGGCAATGAAAAATGGGTTTATTATAATAATCTAAAATCAAATCATAGCAGGATTCATACATATTCATAAAATCTATGAAGAAAAATTACTCTGTGGTAAGTGAGATTCAAAGGGAATTCTGTTACAAATTGCTGAAACCTGAACAAACTTTTACTCTAGAGAAAACAATTGGCTTATTTTCATGGCATTGAAAGAAAAATCTCTAAATTACTGATTAAAATATCTAAAATAAGTGTAGAATTGATGTATTCTAGACAAGCTAAATGTAATGTTTAATTCAAAAGGTCTAGGAGTAATAATTACAAAATTGTTTTCTAATCATATATGCATTGGGTTACTCTTTATTTTTACCATCCATTCTATAAGACGGTGGTGATAAGCCAGAAATTTAGCATGAGGGATTGTTTGGTATTATCTTTTAAAACTTTTTTTTAATGGTTATTTCAAATGTCTTTTATGCAAACAAGTTATTACAAAAATGATTAGATATCTGATCAAAGAAATGTAAATAGAATCACCCCCAAACACTCATATTCTCATTTCCTAGTTATGTCTCTGGTCCTTTCATATATTGGATGAAAGGATTCTTTTAACCTACCACTATCTGCTCTTTTCTTCAATTTGCAACTCTAAAATTATCCTTATTTTCTTGGATATCACCTTTGTGTTGAGCACTTGTTAATAGAACAAATGAGTTTTAAATTTTAAAAATCATAAATTTAAGCCAAAATCTATAGTTCAATTTATGACATGTAGAATATTATTGAACATCTTTTAACTACATGGAACTAACAAGATATTGTGAAAAGATTGTTATGGAGCAACTGATGAAGATTTTTCTGATTTGATGTCACACATTGACAGCTCCAGTTACTACTGTAGGGAAAATAGTGTAATTTTCTCTAATTGTGAATATTTTTCACAAGAGGGCAGTATTTATGTCAACATTCCAGCACTTAAAATTGGTACTGCTCATTGTGAAGGTTTATACTTCTGAAGAACAAACTACAAATATTAACTCTGGTTCATTCTGAATCTTTATACTTTGGCAGTGAATTAGTTAAAGGCAATGAAAGCAACAATTATCTTGGTGATATTTTGCTGATGTGATAAAACATTAACTTTGATATTATATGACAACCACTGTGTGTGTGATATATATATATATATATATATATATATATCACACACACACACACACAAGTGGTTAGCATCCAAGTACTGATCAGGCTTAACTGCAGTGTTTAAATGGGAACTGATGCTTTCAATGTGATTTGAGCATAAGCACCTTTTATACTGTAAGTAGTGGTAGAGGTCGCATCATCATTGTACAAGAATTCAGGCATTGAAAGCACCACCAATGTTTTACCATCAGACTAATTGAATCGTATGGGGCAGAGGCAGTCTCCAATTATTTTTACTAGTTCTTTTCATTAGATCAAGGCTATCTAATGCTGAATGTTCAAATAATGTTGAACAAGCTATGAATAAAGAATCTGGTGAATACCATTGGGGTTTTTGGGAGCAACTATCTCATCCACCATGGCCTGTATATTGGTTGTCTTTGTGCAGTAAGTGGGCAACTCTCTCAGCAAATGAAATTACAACACAGCTTCAACTTACTCAAGATTAAACATACAGGAAATATAGCTGGACTACCTTAAATGATTACATATATAGATCAGTTTCCAAAATAAAATTCCAGTTGGGTCCATTAATTTAACTTATTCACAAATACCCTCTGAAAAAGCATGAATCTGTCTCTCCCCCTCCCCCAACTCCAACTATAGGTTAAATAGTAGAACCTGTATCTGGAAAAAAAAAATTGTTAATGTAATCTCTCACAAAAAAAAAAGTATTTTTCTTACAATCAAAAATGTTTTAGCTTTAAATAACCCACAAATGACTGATAAGCCATAAAAACAAACTGATCAACCCAAAATAAAGAGTATATCAACAATATTTTGACACCATATGAATACACTATATGTCCTTCTTGGACATTAAGACTGTCCTGTACTCTTATGTGCATATAATCGTACAGATGACAAACATCATCCTGCAGTGTATTATTTTACACCTGTTGACAATACAGCAAGAGTTGCATATGGAATAACTGAATGGAAGTCTAGCTCGGGGCATGCATGCCTGTAATACTGCTTCAAATAAGTGATTCCCAACAGTCCATGTTGATATTCTTGAGGCTAAATTTGTTCTGATTTGTGCAGTCTGCCTTTACAATGCATTGATCTTAAGTGTCAAGCACTTTTGGTCTACAGGTGCAGGAATATTCATTTCACCACTGAGACATCACGTCCAGCATGTACATCAATTCTGCAAAATGGTCATTCAACCTCTTAAAAGTATACAATTCAGTCTCTCTCTGACAGCTCCATTTGTGCATCTGTGGTATGATACCTGTTTGCAGTGGATTACTTTGCTGCACAAACCTACTGCAGCATGTATTGCCATTAAAGCTAAAGCACAGTGTGAGTTTTAATGTCATAAGATGGCCAAAGACTGAAAGTTTTATCAGATTAGCATGCATTTACTGTAATGAGACCAGAGTTGGCATTTTTGGGGATATTGCAATTTTATTTTCTCATAGTAGTGTGCTTATATATGATCTATTTTAGTGTCTGTTGTACAACATTTAATCTATTCGCTTTTTAAAATTTACTGCATCTGATAATAATGTTACTGCATAATTAAGATACTTCAACTTGTGCAGCTTTATGCCTGATTGATGAATCAATGTATTTTTGTGCCCGCAAAGATGAAATAAGTTGATAAGTTGAGTTATATATATAAAATCTACTGTTGTTCGTTTAATCGTAAACTATATAGAATTGCATTGAAAATAAATCCGTAAGTTAATATTTATAAATTCTTACATTCAAAGTTTTTATTTATGCTTCTCTATTATTTTTTTTTATTTTTTTCCCTTTCCTTACCAGAAACTTGGCTCTTGCTGGTGGTGTATTGCTTTTATTGGCTGAATCCAAGGCTGAAGGTCGCAGTCTTTTTGCTGGTTTGCCCAGCCTTGGGGAAGACAACCCCAAGCAATATATGCAGCTCAGTGGACGAATCTTGCTTGTACTCATGTTCCTCACTCTTCTTCGTTTTGACTTAAATTTGTTTCAAATTATAGAGAATCTTGTTGGCACTGGGCTCATTCTCTTGGTTGCTGTTGGTTACAAGACCAAACTGTCAGCAATGGTGCTAGTTGTCTGGCTGACAGCGCTGAATCTTTATTTCAATGCCTGGTGGAATATTCCTGATTATCGACCAATGAGAGACTTTCTTAAATATGACTTTTTCCAGACACTCTCTGTTGTCGGTGGTCTATTACTAGTGGTAGCCTATGGCCCTGGAGGAGTAAGCATGGATGAACACAAAAAAAAATGGTAAACAGATAAAAATGGGGGAAAAAAAAAAAAAAAAAACTTACCCTCACAGAAGTTTGGTTGGTTTTCTTCTGTTCCTTGTTCCATATGCAAAAAACTTTCTTTCTTTCCCTTCTGCTTTTTTCCTTTATCAAGAAATGGTTATGGAACATTTTGTTAAAAAAAGAAAAAAAACTTTTTTTTTTTTTTTTTTAATGCCCCTGCCTTTTCTTAAACACACTTCATATTTTGCTACTGACCTCATATTACTCTATCTCCTAACCTAATGGAAGAGGAAGAAAACATTTAAAGAAATTTAAAAAAAAAAAAAAAAAAAAAAAAAAAAAAAAAAAAAAAAATAAAAATAACAGGGTGAGTATCCCTAATAAAACCTCTCTAAACCACCAGAATATTTTCCTTGTCCTGCTACAATGTAGTGTGGTCTCTGGCTCTGGCAGAGCATTTATCAGTATAAAAACACACACACATACACACACACTTGCACTTTGAATATTTGTATATATTTCATTTTTTATTTTATTAAATCATGAATATGTACTTGAAGTAAAATAAGCCTCTAACATAATTGTAATGTCATCACTTAAAATCTGTAGTTTTATTAGTGAATATTATCCTTTCCTTTCTACTCATTTGTTTATTTTTGTCTTTAAATCTTTTATGATAAAATATAAGTATTTAAGGTAGCAATTATATATTTTGCCGATTTCATTTGTTTAATAATGATCTTTTATATTTTAATTTCCCCTAAATGTTCAAATTTTTTATGCTTCAATTAAGTCTTCTATCTCTAAAATAAAGTTGCTCTTTTTAATCATGTAGTATCTTATAACTTTCACTCACTCACTCAATACTTCTGAGAAGCATTGCAGGTAAATTCAGACTGAAATCACCTGCTTCAACAAAAATCCCTATCATGACAACAATGAGGTTACAGGCTGCTTGCTTGGCTAAATTTTTCATGAAAGCATGTCATGATGCCTACTACTGTTTTTTTTTTTTTTTTACTCTGTTGCATCTATTTTTTTCCCCCTCTTTACCAAACATTTCAGCAGACAGATTGCAAGAATAATTACTGCTTGAAGTTTGGATTCCCTGTTTTACAATTATTTTTTTTTTTTTTTTTAATTGAGTTTTCTTTTTCTTGTACCCACTTGTGCTCTGCTCAATTTTATATATATATATATATATATATATATATACATACACACACTTTTGTGGTAAGTTAACCTTACTCAAACATAATCACCTATAAAGAATAACTGCCTGAAATTTTTTATTTTATATATATATATAGTGACGACCAATTCTTTGTATATTTTTTTTTTATTTAGTTGACATGTGGGAGCACAGTAAAGTTTTGGAAATTACAAAGTTTTTGTTAGTTTTGTATCCTTCCTCACTGTTATTGAATAGTTTTTTTTTTTTTTTTTTTTTTTTTTTTTTAACTGGGCTATATTTAAAAATCTATTGGATATTAATGGCTTCAGTGAAAAAATCACTGATTCTTAGATTGTGCATTTGATAATGATTTTTATGGCCTCTGCCTCATCTTATTGCTTTTTGTCTCTTGCTCCAGTCAGATGAAGTCAACTTACATTGTGAGGTATGTGGCTCAGAACTATTTTTCACTTTGTCTTGTTAGTGTGTTAATGAGAGTGTATGTGTGAGAATATGTTGACTAAATAAAAATATAAAAAGAAAATCTTGGTCACCACTTTTTTTATATAATATAAAGAACATACATAGTATCAATTCTCTCTTAATTAATCATATATATATATATATATATATATATATATATATATTTAGTTTGCTACTGATTTTTGTGTACTTAGTTTTATATAATCATAAAACCTGTTACATTTGTCTTTTTGTTCTTGTCGAGCTAAATTTGCCAGCATTTTACTGTCCAAGTGCTTTTTGATGCTTCAACTAATCAAAGCACATGTACCTTCCATCCATTTCTTTTTGCCATCTTTATTACTTTAGTTCTGATACAAAATTATCATTTGCTACCATTTCTCTAGAATGTTTTTTTATATTTGACTGATTATTTCCAGATAAATCTTATTTCTTAGTATTTGTTTTATTTGTAAATATGAAAATCTTAATATAGCTCTTCAAGCATTATATATATATATATATATATATATATATATATATATATATATATATATCTCCTTATTGAACTGCATAGAGAATGTCTAAAAATAATTTTTATTGGTTTTGCTTTTGAATTTTCTTTCCAGTAATAACATTCCATGCTTTGCCTAAATTCTTACTTATACTTACTTTGCTTTATTCAATGACTAATTATTCAAATATTTAACTACAATTCTTTTTTTATATAATTAATCCATTTCAAACAAGCTTTTTATTTTTCTTCTTTTTTTTTTTTTTCTTTTTTTTTCTTTTTAAATTTAAAAGCAGTCAGTTTTGATAGGTCTATTTTACCTACCCATTGGCACTCTGTTGACATGCAATTTTACTATGAAAGAGTCAGCTTAAATATCTTAGAGAAAAATGTATGTGCCATAGTTAATCCTGTCTGGAAGTGTGGAAAAGTTCTTACTACAACCCACTTCTCAAAACTTGCCTATTTGAAACAGCACATTTAAAGTATTCCCCCCCCCCACACACACACACACATGTTTGTTTGTTTTTTTGTTTTTTTTTGGCTGAGAATTTTTCTGCATTACCAGCTTCATCACATTATGTCCAAATATCACTACTATTTTTTTGTTTTGCATGACAAACATTGAAAGAGGTTATCAATATATCCCTTTTTGTTTTTACTCACTTGAAAATGAAGAAGGAAAAAAAAACAAAAAAACTAACTTACTACATTTTGTATAGATATTTAAGGAAAGATTGTATTGTCACCAACATAAAAGGAATTCCCCTTTCCCTTTGGATTCTGGCTATGTTGACTGATGTAGAAAGACTTATGTTATTTAACAGCTTTGTACATTGGAATTGGTGGAGCAATATCGCCTCTTAAAACATTCAATATTATAAACTCTAAATTTCCACAGATGTTTATATATCAACCCCTAAACTTTTAAAAGATTTTTTATCTAACATTATTTCTCATTGCTATGAACATTATTTTATTATAATAAGAAATAATGTCAGCAAAAAAAAAATCCATTGAAAAATTACTATTTACATTTCTGGTACAAAACTGAAACTAACAGATATAGATTTATAGACATTCTAATGAGAGCGATGCTCACATTTTGACTATAGAAGCAGTTTCCCTTGATGGAAAAGGGGATACAGGTTCAATTCCTGTGAGAGGCACAATCTTTTTTTAGTAGGACTTCTAAATCTGAGCCAGTTGTTATTAATTTCATTATTTTAAGAAAATAAAAAACAGCAATAACAACCTTTTTATAAACAGTTTTATTTGAGAAATCTTTGTGCTTTTAGAAGTGTGTATAATCTATATCCTGGCTACTTTCACTGTTCAACCAACTGTAGTATGTGTTTAGCTTAAACTGCTGAAAACAATTGTTTAATTGAGCATTTGTCTTGCTTAATCATTTGATGGCATTGCTTCAGTTAGCATTGTTTAGTATATTAAATTTAATAGTCTTTAAATATACAAGGATGTTTATACTTTTGAAGTCAATTTGAGAACTGCCAAGATGCTGAGAAAGAACAAGTTTTCAGTTTTTCATATTAATGCTTCAGGTCTATGGTTACTTATGAGATTGGAATTTGACCATAGAAGCAAAAAGAATTTAATGCCTAATTTTTGCCATCTCCATCGGAGTAGTCCTCTTTGACATGTTTGAGATTCGAATACAATGTTCATAGTCTACAAGTGTAATTGTTTTAATCACTTATAATTCTGCCTTGTTCTCTTCAATTGTGTGCCCTTTTTAGTTGAAATTTTGTCTTTAGGAACAAGAAAAAAAGCAAGGTGTGTAATCAAGTAATTAGTGGATTACTTGTATTTTTGAAAGCTAGCAACTGCAGAACAAAATGATATGAAAAGGTGCATTGTCACAAATATTTCAGTCACTGCTCTTCCATTTGTCTGGACTTTTACACTGAATATTCTCTCTTAGCCTCTTCAAAACTCTGTAAAAATTCTCATTTAGTTTCATCAGAGAACGGATTGTTCATGAACAATGCCAAAATGATCTGATCATTGATTTGACATTGTTGTGAACTTTATATGCTTTTTCTGTGTTTCATATATGGTGACTTTTTTTTGTTTTTAGTGGCCTTTTCTGCAATGACTACTTCTTTGTTTCAGAATCATAACTACAAACTCTTGGTATGTTAGAAATTATGATCTTGGTGGTAAAGTTGGCATCATTTCTGGTTTGATCAGTTCTCTGCTAATAACACATTGTTTTCAGTTATTACTTTTCAGTATTTGTATACCTTTTACAGCATGATATTTAATTCAAAACATCTGTCAAAAAATATTGAATGGTCTTGAATCCTATTGCCTCTCAAATGAATCTGTATTCATGTACTTTTGCAATGTCTTTACTGTTACATCTGTCTACTCTCATCCTGAATGCACGTTGTCATTGGTTGACATTTGTCTGTCCTTGAAATGTTTATACCATGAAAAGTTTTTTTTCTCTGGCTCAAAGAATTATCATGAAATATATCCTTATGAATTCAGTGGGTCTTGACTACTTTTTTATTATTATTATTTGCCATTTCAGAAGATAAAAAATTCATAAACCACTAATACAACTTTACAAAAGCTCTTATAACCCAAGAATATGGTCTCTCATCTTGCCTGCATACTAGCTTACAAAGGATAACAACAAAAGTTAATACTGCACTCAATTTATGTGTGTGGTTCAAAATCCCTAAACTTTTTGTTGATAAAAATTCATATTTTCAAATACAAAAATTGGCAAAATTTTCTATAAAACTTCAGAAATTAGTGTAGGTAAATCTCTTAATATGATTGAAGACAATTAAATATTTGGAAGAAGATTCATTTGCCTTTTATATACTTTGTATATTTGT